TTCAGCTTCTTGATGGCATCCAAAATTTCCTGTTTTGATGGAGCATCACAGCAGATTAATAATTCATTTTCTGCAGGCAGGATGTTTGTCGGGTCTAATGGCGGTGGTCTGTTCAGAAAACTGCTGAAATGCTCTACCCATCGTCTCGACTGAGGTTCCTTTCCAAAAATGTTTTTTCTCTCTTGGTCCTTTACTGTTACTTCTGGTTTCCCAAATTTTCCAGAAAGAGTCTTTGTAGTCTGGTAAAGGATTCTCGTGTTCTCTCCTGCTGATACCTTCTATGCCCTCTCTGCCAGCCAGTTTATGAATTCCTCCTTGTCTTTTCTTAGTGATCTTATTACATCTTTAGGTGTTGTCCTGTACAGCTCCGATGCGTCCGCTTTTGATCCCCTTGTTCTACTTGCATTTGTCTCTACTTTCGATTGTCTTCTAATGCTAATCAAATCCACTGACCGTTTGCTAATCCATTCCTCATGCTCCAATTTCTTCTCACCGAGTATATCTTGACATGTTGAAGAAAAGACTTCTTTGACCTTGCTTCTGTGCATCCCCACTTCCATGTCCTCTTCACAAAGATCCGCCAAGGGTTGAAATATGTTCCTCAACTGCAGTTGAAACTCCTCTTTCTTGTGTCCATCTAAGAGACTTACTTGGAACTTCGTTCTTTTGGTTCCTGTTCTGGTTCCGTGCTTTTTGAGACGAAGCTTGAGTTTTACTAACAACAGACGATGATCCGATCCAACGTCTCCCCCTTGACCCTGACCTTGACCATCAATAATTTATTAGTAGAGACACCAGCCATCCATGTAACGTCTGCCTCTCATTATACTGTAACATCTTCCAGTGAACGCATGTACCTACGAGAGATACCAAAATGATCGATCTGGTTCTCCGTCACTCCATCCAGTGAAACACAAGTAGCCTTGTGGATCCTCTTGAGAGGAAAAACAGAGCTTCTAATGACAAAACTGTTGAAAAGCACAGATATTTGTAAATCGCTCACTATTTTCGTTCATTTGTTCCAAGCCATGTTGTCCCATGATTCCCTCATAACCTACGCTGTCCTCACCGATCTTGGCATTGACATCTTCTATTATGATGTTGACATCCTTCCTTGGTAGTTTGTCAATGACCCCTCCGGAGACGGCTGTAAAAGCATCCTTATCTTCATCCGGAAGCTTCATTTGTTGGGGCATAGATCTGAATATGTTCATGTTGATACTCTTACTCCTTGTAGTAAATGAAGCCATGATGATCCTCTCCCCCCGTGGTTCCCAACCTATACATGACTTCTGTGCATACTTTCTCAAAATAATTCCTTCCGCATGACGCTTGTCTCCCCTCCCAGAATACAATATTAAATTGTTCCCCCAAGCTGAGCTGCTTCTGTCCAAACTGTTTCTCTGAATCCTAGTATGAGCAGCCTGTATCCCTTCATCTCTTGTGCTACTTGAGAAGTCTTTCCTCCTTCTTATATGGTACGAACATCTCACGACGTAATCCGGAGCGACCTGTTCGACAGAGAAGGTTTTGGGTCAGAAGAGTCCTTTCGGCTTTGTCCTCAGTCCTTCATTGTTCCTGCTGATATAGAAGCTCCTACGTCTCCCAAGATGGAAAAATAATACGGCGTGTTTGTTCGTGTTTCTATAACTTGCCGCTTTTACTGGGTCAGGTAGTTGGCCCTCCGCAAACTGGCACTTTTCGGGTGACGTTTAGTCGCCTCTTACGACACGCAGTATCACGGCAGATGTATTCTTTACTCCCCCATAGTAAAAGTATGCGACTCCCACCTGCAGGGGCGATAATTTCACATAAATGCTGAAAATTAGGGTTGTTACAAGACAGTAACAAACACACAAACGACAGAGGAGAGATACGGACAATATACGTTTGATAGGAAAGAAGGAGCAAACTACACCAAAGCACCCGCCAAACAGCAGTTAATGGGTAGATGGATGGATAGATGGATGGATGGACGGACGGATGGATGGAGGAAGGGAAGGAGAGATGGAGAGATGTCAGGATGGACGGACAAATGAACAAGATAGATAGACAGATAGACAAAAATATAATTTGGTAAACAGATAACTAGATATTTTACCGGTAGGTCTCCTTTCATCATTATTTAAAGATCATACCACTTATCAGTAATTATTTCGTTTGTCATGGCTCCATAATACAATAAAACCTTCTCACTTTCTCTTGATCTAGCTGTTTGGTTGTAATGAGCCAACAATTTTGAAAACAAAATATTTTTTGCAATAACGTTATCTCTGGTGTTGGTTGAACTTGCTCAAGAACAATTTTGCGGAAGTTCAAATTCTAAATATATACCCTAGTCTTCTGGATGGTCCGATTTCCCTAGCAGCCTGTAAGTGAGCCTCTCAGACTCCACTATTTATCCTTTGTATTTTATGGATAAACTTGGTGGTTGACCATCATTTACAGAAACGTAAACACAGAAACGTTGAAACAAAACACCCAAGACTACACATACAGAAATTATCTGTTTAACGAACACATTTATTGAACTTTATATATCATATATTATTTGGTGAACAACTTTGAATGAGGTTAGACTGAAGAAATCAATGCAATTCTGGCACTTTTTTTCCTAATGATTGTGGGTCGGTCATGTCATGAGCTTGCTGTTTTTATTGCTGAATAATGAGATTGAATTCAAATGATGTGGTCGTTTTTCAGTTAAAAATGAATCTCATGAAAATGCCCAAGGAGACTTAATTACGGTAAATGATAATTAGGATGATGCCAAAATAGTGTGGTACATATAGTAACTTGGCACCAGTACTGGCACCGAAGACCAGGAGACAAGTGCTCAGAATATGAGTGTCTACTGACAGTGAAGACAAACGCGCTTGGAAACAGAGTGTTCCCCACAAACTGATATTCCACAAGATATTCTGTCCTTGTTTCTCTGATAAAGTCCTCAGCGTTTCCTCTTTCTTTGCCCATGTTCAGTGGCCAGTGCTCTTGCTTCTTGGGTTTGGGTAAGTGGTGTGACACCACAGAGAAGAATACTCATACGAGCTGACTTAGGGATGTTCTCAGTGGCAGCCCGATATTGTATTAATGGCAGGCAGAGCTCATCACCCAACATCTCGAGGAAGATTTTTCTCCTGTGTTTCTTGCGGATATTACACCGGGGATTTTGAGAAGTGAAGCAGAAGTAAGCAGCAATAGTGCAAATTCCAACAGATTGCAGAAGAAAGTCTGAGGCCATCTCACGGTCTGCCTCTTTGACGTGCATGCATGGACCATCTGATCCAGAGAGTCCACACCGCCCTTTGTTTTGTTGTAAAAGATGTTGATTTCTGCTTACCCAGTCTCCCCATCGAAGCTGCCATTCGGTACATACTTGACAGAAGGAGAACTGCCTTTCCTATTATAGTAAAAATGCCTTGGGGTCTGAGAGGCCCCCTTTAGGGTTCAGGGGGGTTGTCCTAGGAAAATAGTCATCCCTGTCTTCCAAATCATCCAAATAACTTCATAGACCATATCCATGCTTATCAGAGGGTGTTTGAAGAATACCTGGGAGGAAAATAACATCCAACCAAAAGTTTTGTCGAAAATGCCTGAAATATACCTGTTGGGGTCTGCGAGGCCCCCATCCAGAAGACTAGGGTTTTAAACAGCTAGAAAATATACAAAATGAGGGAACAATTGTAAAGAGAATGAAACCGTCTTTTTCTGTCTCATAACCTTTTTTGTTTTCTGGGCTTTGTACATTTGAATAGCTTACAACGGTATCTTTCATGTCTTGACGAAATCGATATGTAGGCCAAAAAGGTCAGACCCGGAAAGGACGCTGATCACAGCTCTCTTATATGAAACAGGGTCGTGGTGAAAGGAGGAGCACGTCAACATTATAAAATTGGAGAAACCGGCATTTTTTTCATTTCGTTCGGCAGTTTTTATCGATGCATGTGTGTGTGTGTGTGTGTGTGTGTGTGTGTGTGTGTGTGTGTGTGTGTGTAGGTGTGTGTGTACACGCTTGTTTGTGTATGCGTGTGTGTTTGTTTGTTTGGCCCAACACCCGTTATGGCCTTTAGAAAATATATTTCTGTGTTGATTTTTACTGAAAAACGTTGTTGGAATTTGTGGAATGCATAGAAAAAAATTGATTTACCATGTTCACTACAGTACAGCCTCAGAAGCCACCGAACTTCTGCGGCTATTTTCTTGCTAATTTTACGCCTCATGCCAGGCTACCCCTGCCTCCATTAATCGCAAAAAACCTTAACTTCTTTTCTGTATACAAGGGTCTTTTTTATCAATGGCAAAACAAAAATTAACAATCTTCAAGATAACACCAATAGCTCCATACGCTTAAAATTTGACGAGAACCCAGTATCGCCATATTGTGACAAAAATACACCTCTGTTTCGCTTCATCAAATTAGAATCTGAAGTTTATTCGGGCTTAATTCATTCTCCAGGTCAAAGCACCCCGCCCTTTTTTTTCTTCTTTTTTCTCCTTCATAATGTCACGAGGCATGCTCTCAAATGTATCATATCAGTATCATCTTCAAGTACCAGACCTGCGAAGACATTGACTGTCATGGTTCTCCGTTCATTCCTTTGCTCGGATGCTCTTTAAAAAATCCATATTACTCTGATCTTTCCCGATCACCCATCTGTCTATGCACTCCAAGTAGGTATCAGATCATAACTGTCAAAAGGGGTCTGTTGAAACCGTCTCCTGTGTGCACTAGCTCTTGGGTTATTCCAAGGTAACTGGCCGGACAAATGAGGTATATTATTCTGTCTCTTCAGTTCGAAACTAAAGACGTCACAGAATTTGCATAAAGTACAATTTTTTTTTCAATGACTGCATTTCATAATGATTTTTACTATGTTTGCCAGATGTTCTAATTGTATAAAGTTAAAATAGATAAATGGATGTTGAATTACGGTGTAATCAATGTAAGAAAGTAACGTCTAAATTGCGTACCGTCAGTTACCGTGGAATAGCCCTCTTACGTTTATTTTTCTGATGCGAGCGTTTAGCTCATCCACGCAACACTGGCATTGTTCCACCTCCTGCTCCTTGGCACACAGCGTCTGTTCCAGTTCTTTGACTATGGAGAGTATGGAAAGCAAACAAAGCTGTTATTTAAAATGTTGATCTTGTTGTTTTGTTTCGTTTTGTTCGTTTGTTTGTTTGTTGTTGTTCTTTTTGTTTGTTTGTTTGTTGTTTTTTTTGTTTTGTTTTGTTTGTTGTTGTTTTTGTTTGTTTGTTTTGTTTTTTTTGGTGTTTTTTTTTTGGGGGGGGGATCGGGTTCAAGTTTGTCTTTTTGATGAAACAGATGGAGTTAGATAAGATAAGATAAGATGATCCCCCACACACACCCTGCCTTTTATTTTTTATTAGCGGACATTCCGCCTTACAATGTGCTCTTACGAGCTTCTGCAATAAAACATTTACCTACATCATCATACAAACATAACGTAATCGCTGTGTGTGTGTGTGTCTGTCTGTCTGTCTGTCTGTCTGTCTGTCTGTCTGTCTGTCTGTCTGTCTGT